ATTTATTAAGGAGATTAGCTCTATGTCAAGGACTGTGTAGGCAGAACTTTAAGAGGCTTCTAGGTGCTTCTTTTTGAAGACTGTTTAGTCACTGTTAAACAAGGAAAAGTCATCTGAATGGCCCCTCTTAAGTTCTAAATGGGAGTCAAACTGGCAGGCATCACTCCTAGGGAATAATGTAACTGGAACATTTTTGTGGTTTATCTATGACTGTCCAAAGCCAAACATCCCTTGGTATGTTGAAACAGTTACTATTGAAAAGGTCAGGCAAATTTGCAGAGGCACCAGGATGCCTCCCGGGAAGACAGGATTATGTCTTCTACCCAATGCCTTCCCTTTTGAGTTTTGTTTTCGAACCTCTCCTGTAGAATTGAGATGATCTCGGAAGGGACAGGAAACAGTCCTAAGAGTCCCAAAGTGAAACTCACCATGAGGGACATCTAGAGTCAAGACTTGAGATCAATATCAGGTTTAAATGCCCATGGATGGGGAAAGGGACAGGGTTGGCTCTGAAACAGTGTACAGCTATAATCGGAGCCGCTTCTGAGCCAGACTGCCTGGTGGGCACGAGCTGGGAATAAACTTCTGGCGAACTGAGGCACTATTCACTGCTTGGGCTCTCAAGGTGACAAGTACCATAGCACTGCATGGCTTAAGGTCATCCTTCCTCCCTCACTTCAGCCCTCATAGTGCTGCGGACCTGCGAGAGCATTATTGCCACAGTAGACGCGCGTTAAGAAATTGTGCGGAGCTGGTGTTCAACAGTGACCCCGTGTGGCAGCAACAGAAGCTGCACAGCAGTGGGAAAGAGGCCTGAGGTGAACGGATTAAATTCACCAGTTAGTTCTCTTTTGCCCGGAATTTGGAGGCAGGCACGCACCTCTGGAACCAAATGCCTCGAGGGTTCTTGGACAATTTGAAGGTGGGAATATCAAGAAAGAGATGTTGGGCATCCTGGTAATTTGACCGAGGGACTATTTTGAATAATTGTGACCTGAGACTTGAAAGTCACATTATACCAGTTACAACGTATGTGTGGCAAATGTTTTTCATCTCTCATTTGGGTTTTTGGATTTTTTTTTTTTTCATTTTGGCACTTTTTTTTTTTTAAAGATTTTATTTATTTATATGATAGAGAGAGAATGAGAGAGACAGAGAGCATGAGAGGGAGGAGGGCCAGAGGGAGAAGCAGACTCCCTGCCGAGCAGGGAGCCCGATGCGGGACTCGATCCAGGGACTCCAGGATCATGACCTGAGCCGAAGGCAGTCGCTTAACCAACTGAGCCACCCAGGCGCCCCATTTTGTCACTTTTATGAGTCATAGAGAGTTTTAAAGATTTATTTATTTATTTTGAGAGAGAGAGCATGAGCAGGGGGGCGCAGAGGGAGAGGGAGAATCTGAAGCAGACTCTGCGCTGAGCATGAGCCTGACTTGGGGCTCGATCTCATGAACCTGAGATCACGACCTGGGCCGAAACCAAGAATTGGACATTTAACCAACTGGGCCACTAGGAGCCCCATTCATAGAGAGTTTTAAAATATTTATTAGTCAGTTACGTCCTTTGTGACTCCTGTGTTTTGTACCAAGAAAGGCCTTCCCTTCTCCCAAGATATTATATATATGAGATATAGATAGGTATTGCCAGGAAAATTGTGAAAGACTTTGAAGTGGGCCAAAAAGATGACTGGATGATCTTTCAGTGGTACACTACACGGCTTTTCAAGGTGACGTGGAAGGACACCAATGATAGAATGGATATCCATTAATTTCTACAGTATGTTAGCCACAGTCTTCCAGTCTCATTATCAAATAGGTTTCTGCTTCCTGAACTTGCCCGAGGCTCTGCGACAAACTGCAGGCCAAAATCTGGTTCTTTAGCAAAGACAAACTGCCTAGAATCACATGGAGTTGGACCGTGCCAAGTATGTTCAACTATTGACACTTCAAAGAATAGACGCTTGGGTACAAGCTTGAGTTGACACAGCTCTGACAACATTCAGGCTGAACCTGTGCAAGGAGGTGGATGTCCAGGACGCTATTCCAGAAGCAGACAACTTTATGAAAGCAGAACGCTAACCCAAGATCCCACAGAACAGAATTTCACGGGATGAAACGAGCTGATGAGGGAAATTTAACTGTGGTAGTGTTGAGGCTGTCTTAATGCTCTATTTTCTGGATATATAAGGAGGCCATTCTTTTTTTTTTTTTTTTTAAGATTTTATTTATTTATTTGACAGAGAGAGACACAGCGAGAGAGGGAACACAAGCAGGGGGAGTGGGAGAGGGAGAAGCAGGCTTCTCGCTGAGCAGGGAGCCCGATGCGGGGCTCCATCCCAGGACCCTGGGATCACGACCTGAGCCGAAGGCAGTCGCTTAACAACTGAGCCACCCAGGCCATTCTTCTTCTTAAGTGACCTTTAATCTACAACAATCCGGTAGACCCTGCTTTTGTAAAGTGAAATTAAACTTTTTTTTCTGCCTCTCATAGAACTTCCTACTACCCCCAAATTAAAAAGCTCTGAGTTCCCTTACTTTTTCACAGCAATATACTTATTTGCATAGGTTCAACAAGAATCTTTTCCTTTCTACCAGTATATAATTGGAAAAAATTGATCATGGATCTGTGGCTTTTCTTGGAATGTCATATTTGAGAATGATGCTCATTTAATCAGTTATGTCAACTCCAAGGAACAAAGGCTGATTTTACTTACGGAAACAATGCCTACAAAACTATCCCAGGAAGTTGGCCTTAGTACCAACCCTAAAGGTGGTAAGAACGGGGCAGGGGTTAGGGGACAGAACTCAAGTAGAGAGGAATTCACCCAAATTTATAGATAGTGCAAGCAAAATATGGTAGTTTCTTGGGGTTCCTTCCCCACCCTTGAGCTAGAGACATTTAAAAGTACAATTCTGTGGTTCCAGTAGCTGTTCAATACTACATGGCTTTCAATTTTCAAAGCAAACCCAAGGAACCCTATATGATTAATTAGCACTTGTTGCACCTATGAAAAGAATCAGGCAAACCTAATGAATCCAGCCCTTTTTTTATGATCAAGAATAACCTTTGAGATTTTTATGGTCACAAAAAGGGAAGTTGTTAGGGAAATTGGAAAGACTTTGAAAGGGGCAAAAAAGGCTACTGGGACTACTTTGATGGAATATCAGATATCTCTTCTGGGTTATCTGGTTCTATACACATTTTGCCTTTTTGGGTGGGGGTGGGGCTTTGAGTTATGTTATAGTCCTGTGAATTATGGAAAACCAATGTAGAAATGATTACTGCCCAGAGAAGTAAAAGAATTCTGCTGGTGAAGATGCAACTGATTTCCCCCTGTGGATAAGGCCAGTTTTGTGTCTATAAGCAAATTCATTTCAGCTCTCCTAATTGCTTATATATGTGTCTGTTCTTTGAATTATCCTTTGAGCCATTTTTTAAAAACATCTTACTTGTTCCCTCATTAATAATGAGCTAAATAAAATTTTTGACATATGCCAGCTTTATGAGAGTCATGGATTTACACTTGTGAAAAAACATATTTATCCACATGTTGTGTATTTGAGCTCTCTTTAGATATAAAAGGTGAACCAAGGACCCAGCTTTATTTTGTCAAAAAGCTAGTCATTTTTTCATGATTTATTGAATAGCCCTTACTTTCCAATGCCCCCATTCTGGTGTTATTTGGGCCATTTATGTGTTCTCTATTATGATCTATTTATTTATTTCCACATTAGTAAAAATCTGTTGTAGGTGCTACAGCTTTATAATACATTTTAATAATCTGACAGGTTATTTTGATGTTGCACTGAGCCCACAGAGGAAGAACAGATTGTCCTGCCAATTTGGATTAGTCTAAAATGTAAACTAATTAAAGATAAAACATTGGTATACAAAAAATTGGCCCAGTTATTTGGGCCTCATCAACCCCTTTCAGACTATCCTAACCAGACAGAATACAATTATGAGTCTAGAAGGTAAGCAAACAGGTCTTCTGAGTTGCAAAGTTAGTAAACCCATAGTTTATTCCGTAGGGGAGATAGAGAATAACCCTTACCCAGACAATTACATGTAAAATAGGGCAGAATAGAATGGTATTGGCAGACATTCATGGAATGATAGTAGAAGAAGTCAGAACTGTCAAAAGCACTGGAGGATTGAACCTTTTGATTTAGAACAAAACCTGCTCATATGCTCAATGGCCTTTTGGATGTTTGCATTTTAACAACTGCTTGAGTTTGAAAGTACTAATTACTTACACTCTTTGCCTCTAGGGTTTTGATCAACAAAGGGTTAGACAAAGAGATGCATATGGATAAAAATATCAGCTTTATTGCCAATGAAGCTAAATTGGAATACACAGCTTGGACTCCTGTGCCCCAAATTTCCAACTTGAGATCCACATGTGCACCTGTGCTCTGCAGAATGGGCTATCGTCCAGGCAGCTCAGGGAGAGTCAAGAAGGGCCTCATACCTGGTCATACTATGCCCAGGTTGTTTTTGCACTAACCCCGTCTACAAAAGGAATCTGGATATCAGACTCTGGCCATGTTGCCGTTCTAATAAAACATGCGGGAGGAGCCAGGGATGGATAGAGAAAAGGTCAAGCTGTAGAAGCTTTCCCCTTAAAAGTTCCAGAGAAATGGAAGTGTTGATAGAATTTTCTGTGTTACAGGTGGCTACAATATGAGTAGAGGAAGACTAGAGTCCCTATTACAACATAGTACAGAAATTGATATCCATAAAGATGAACCCGACTTGAAAAGAAAATACTATGTTCAGCCTACTCTGATTACAAAGAATGGAGAAATATGTAATCTGTTTCAGATCAGATAGATTTCTATCAGAAGTATTTTTTTTTAAGTTTGGGTATGTAAATATGAGCTTTCATGAACATGTAATGTTCTAGAACACTGACAAATGTGTGCAAATCTGTCTCCAACAATCAAACGCCCCCCCCATTTTAGTATTGCATCCCGAAAGAACGAAGGTAAAACTCAAAAATACTTTTTGTTCACATTTTTAATGTTTAAAAACTATGTTAACAGAGCAATTATAGAACAGAATTTCTTATATTTCTTTATTTACACCACATCCTGGGGGGGACATAAACTATTTGATCAACCATGAATAGCAAAGTTTTGTGACTTGTGACTCACTTCTATCACCCATCTGAAAATCATTTACAAGTTTTTACATTCATAAAACAGTGGTGTGCTACACATCCTGGGCTTACATGAAGTCTAAAATACAACTGGACTCTGGAGAGTGGATTACGTACCCATGGTCAAGATTCAAGTGTTTTGGGGAAAAAAAGACTTAAGACAGTCTATGTTGGCGTCAACATTGAAAATGAAAGGCAAACATGCAAGACTTTCAAAAGCTGATAAGATAACGGTCCTTTTTTTGTCCTTCAAATTTGTGCTCACAGTTAATGTTCAGGTTTTTCCCCCTTTCAAAGATCCCCAAATTTGGGAAATGTAGCAGTTCAATTTAATTTTGAAAAGAAAATTCTCCCCAATTTCTGTTTTCAAAAATACTGTGTAGTGGTATCAGTGTTAATAGCGAAAGAGCATTATGAAGAAAGAGTTTGCCATTTGGGGTATATCTGTTCCTGTATGACAATGATTTGGGTCTAAATAGTCCTTATTTGTAGATCAGAGGATTATCTCTTAAGTAATTGATCTTAATACCAGTATAAGAAATCAATGCAACTATTTCTCCGACATTTTGCTTTCTAAACAATTAAGTAAGACTTTTAGATTCCAAGTTTACACTGAGAGAACGATGTTACCTGGGTGAGAATGTAAATTTTTCTAATTCCCAAACAAAACCACTAATATCTATGACATTTATTCTTGATATGCAAATACTAGATTCTTGATATTTTTATTTCAGTGTGGATCAACAACTGCAAAAATATACAGCCTCCTATTTATTTACAACATATTTACATACAAATGAAGTATTTCCTACAATAAACCTCAGCTGCATAGATTCTTCCTTTTAAAAACACAAATTCAAGACTGTAGACAGATGGGCCCAGTTCACAGCCCTTCCTCTGAGAACACCCTAAAGGAAAATGACCTAGCCTTGCGAATTTTACAATTTTCAAGAACTTTCCCTTTTAGATTTAGCGATATTTTTCAGTTGTTAGCCACCCCATTCCCAATTTGTACCTGAAAGCCCTATGTCATCACAAATAATTCACTGTATATTTTAGAGGACGTATGTTCTGTTGCTAAAGGATTCTTAAGATCTACCATCTCTCGGGAAAACCATTTATTAGCACTAGACACAGTCGTATCTTCTGTGTTTTGAGAGTGGCTACAAGGTGATAGTGAAGTGGAATGGAGGAATTCTATTCTTAAAGCTTCTGCCCTTTCTAAGCCTCAAGCCATTTACATTGATAAACTGAGGGAAACTCGTGACTTTTGCCCTGAGCTGTGAGATCAAATATCTGATCATGTCCTCAGCCTCATCCCCACCCCAATAAATGTGCCGTCCTGCATTGTGATCTACTGAGATGGAGCCGAGCTCTACATCCTTTTCTGAGCAGTTTGTAGATGCTTTATGCAGTACAGACCTTTCTAGAGAATTCACTTTAAAAGGAGGACAGGCTCAATCATTACACAATGTGCACGGACACAGTGGAGAGCTTACTCCTGACATGAATTCAGTATTTCACCTAAGGCTGCCTTTACAAAGGGTGCTTTCTTTTCCTTCTCCGCAAAGACAAAAACACTTCACTTTCATTTCCTCACAGCTTCAAAACAGGTCATCTTAGTGCCCCTCAGCCCAGGCAGACCCGAGTGCAGGCAGCCTTCCTTGTCGACTGCGCACCAGCACCAGCATTTCCTAGGCACCATACTCTGAGGTAGGACTAACGGGGAGAAAGAAGTGAGAGACAAACTGACCTGGAGTGGTTCTCGCACTTAACATGCATCAAGATCAGGCAGAGGGCTTGTTCAAACCCAGACTGCTGGGGGCTTCCACTCTGAGCGTTTCTGAGTTCATTAGTTCTGGGGTGGGGACCCAAACCCTGCATTCCAGCATGTCCTTGGGTGATGCTGCTGCTGGCCTGGGGACCACACTGTGAGAGCCACTGGCTTAGAGGCTTGAGTCCAACTCCAGAAGGAAGTCAGCTGTGGGGCGGCTTCTGATGTGTCCTCTCAAACACAGGAACCTTACCGCAGTCCCTTGTCCACCCCCAGCCCCATGACCATCCCCCCCGGGTACCTTTCTCAACAGGGTCTGCAAATAGAAAGAAGGAAAGTCAGGAGAGAGCTTTTTTACACCGATCTGACTACTAGGCAGTTAAACCCTGGTTCCCTAGCACGAAACCCATGAAAAGTGCTGCATACTGGCTTCAAGACTGGCACACGGGAGAAGTTATGCAGCAACATCCTGCTCTGTAACGGGCAGGGGAAGAGACAAACTATAGGAGCAACAGGGCCTACAAACAGAAAAGTCAGGCCAAGCCTGAGACCTCCAGGCAAAAGAAGGGATACCAGCTGAGGAATGCCACTGGCGGGCTCACAAGAGGCCCCCTCATCGTCCTTCCCCTCCTCCTACCACCAGGGTCTTCAGTGGCCCTGGACTTCTTCTTGCCCTCCTTTGCTGGAGACCCTGCTTCAGGCCCCGCTGGTCTCCACTAACTGGTGGTGACCCTACCCCCACCATCTGGAAGGTGGCGTGTGGCTGGCGTGGGCAGTCCAGATTCCATTAACAGGAGTGACGTGCTCTTGGCAACTCTGAACAAATACTCCTTTAGAAACAACATTATTTTTGGTGGTTAAGGCTTTTTAGCCATCGTGTTATACTATCCTATTCTGCTAAATGATGGGTCTCATCATCCTTCCTAGCTGCTCTGGGGGCCTAAACACCATGTATAACCTGGTTTTTAGAGGAAAATACATTCCAGGTTGCAAACAACCACCTAACAGGGTTTTGCAACGTGATCTGCTTATAAATTGGGGACAGCCTGTATTTAACGAGACTAGATTTCTTTCCTGTACACCCTTTACTACTCCACTCCTAATAAGTAACATTAGGTAAATTAGGGATTTACAGTATATTGTGTTATAATAACTAGAGAACAGTTCTAAATCCAAAGTATGAAACTGGCACTCTTCACTAGTGTTAAGTTTCTATCTACCAAAGGAAAACGTGCTGCTCCCATTGGCTTAGGTATAATATTCTTTAGTCTACTAATTTAGCAGAAAAACTTCTATAGCACTTGACTGCTGTTTAAATTCTACCTAACATCTGTGATACATGTATTTTTGGCTACCAGTTCACTATTCTGAACAAGAAGAATTATTGCAGTACACTTTATAGCTAATCCCACACACATGATGTAATTAATCCGTGGTATTTGACAAATTACAGTAGGGTCTATTATATTCAGTCAAAAATAAACTTAGATAAACATACAAAGAAGATTTTTAAAAACCTGCAGTATCACAGACATCAACAACAATGTGCCTCCTCTAAATAAATATTTTAAATAATAATATAAATTCCCTGTACTGACACATAAAATCCAGAGATCCAAAAATATCACTACCTATCCCAAGAGCTAATAATAATTTTCTAAGTTGACTTTGTGTAAAGTGTAGAATGAATTGTTAGAAATTAATGAGGAAAATAGAAAGTAACATAATATCACTTGCAAACTCAACTAGGTATTTTTTTTTAATGGAGGGTCAGTCCACTACCTGGCTATTTCATTACTCGGTGCCCTAGACAAGCCTCCCAGGGCCAACAGACTTGTTTTGCTCAGTTTCTCTCCCTGTTCATCCAATATGGAAGACATTGCTGAAAAGGCCAGAGGTGGCTATGGACTTTACTAGGTTAGGTATTCACGTACGGGTAGGTATTCATATCTAATTACCTGAACTCTGACCTAATGTGGATATAATTCTGGAACAGCACATTAAAAGCTATGATGATCCTACCAAGAAATGCAGGAAATAACCTTTCCTTCTCCCCCAAGAGGATCACAACAAGGTGCTTCGATGCCTGCCTTTTCTATGGGACGTTAGTCTGTAAAGGGGGAGGGGACAGTTCCTTGTTACTCCCAGTGAATGGTGAGCAAGACCGTTGGGGATTTGAGTGAGGGAGGAACAGAACCCAGACCTAAGTGCTTGGAAATCCTGCCAAGAGTCTGCGGTTAGATTCTACTTATCTCTGGATAAGAAATCTGTGCTTGGTGAACTATGTGTTTGAGAAATTCAACCGGAATATAAACAAAACACAAGTCCTATTTCAAGGGACCAGCTCACAGAGCACAAACATTTCTTACTGTGTGACAGAGACAGTCCAATCACAGGTGATGGTCCAGCTTTGGGAGGATGCGCTTCTGGGTTTCCTTATTGCCCCCCAACTTTCCAAGCTATGCCTTGCCCCCAACTCTCTTCTTTTTCAGTCTCCGTGTAATTTCCTTCCACCCTCTTTAGGAGATAGTGGGGCTGGAGTAGGGGTCTGAGGCAACTCTGTCCTCTTGTGTGGGTCATGTTGGGCAGGGTAATGGCCCACCCTTTGGTTAGGGATGAGAAGAGGAGACAGAACAGGCACCAAAGTCCCCAACTGCGGGAAGGAAGGTATACTCATTCTGTCACAAGTTCTTCTCAAAGGCAGTCTCTGAGGGTTCTTTTCCTTTCCTTTTTTTTTTTCCCCCAAGACTCTGAGTGGATTGTTAATGGAGAAGAAATAGGAATGAGGCTTATTTAAGGTACAAAAATCTTGTATTTGTAATAACCTAAATTTATAGATATAAAACAAGTCTTTTAAAGACCCCCCTAAAGTACCCAATACAAAACAGGAATTACTTATCCTAGATCATCCTTGGTTAGATACACATTATTCCCTGTGCAAAAAGCTGGTGGACATGAATAAAAGCTGCTGGGTTTATAATTTAAGAAAGTGTTTTTTCTCCCTCCAACAACACAGATGTAGGGTTTTTGCATCACAGGAATATTTTCTTAGGCATTTTGTATGCTCTTTTTGCAATACTCATGCTTCTCAATTTATTACAAAGGTGTCATGGGTCTCCCTCAGTGGAAGGTGACTCAGATTAGAGTAACTCTGACACAACTGGCCAAGAGGGAAACAGAACTTCATTTGCTAGATGACCCAAATGTGTAGTTTAAGATGTTTACCAAGGTAAGAAATCATTCTCACCCCCTTCCCAGCAAAGAACACTCATTGGAGACGGTCTCTGCCTGAAGCAGGATGCAGTACCAGTGAAGGCCATTGGGCCACCAGAGCCTGGTGGCCAGGCTGACCAGGGCACCTCGAATGTTGGGTAGGCTCTGATCCCGCGAGGGCACACACCCCGTCATTCTCTCATGATTACCCCCGTGTGCTATATTAACCAAAGTAGGCAAAATATTTATGAAACCATTTTCTTTTTCTGTAAAGCAAAATAACTATATACAATTCGAGATTCTTTTCTCTTCTAAAAAGGTACCAGTGGCATGAACAGAACATTGGCAGGAAAATCATTTTGGAAACTTGTATGCATAATAAATAAACATGATCGATAATTATGTTTTCAAAGTTCTAAGGGACCATGAAGTCACAAAAAATAGAGTTAGGAGAGTGAAAAATAACTGACTGTGAAGAGTACTGAGAAATACAATTGCATGAAGTTTAAAAAAAAAAAAAAATCCACAATCCTTAAATTGATCCCAACTCTTAGAGGGACAGGAACCATTATAGAAACAGGTTTCTGTTTTGCTACCGAAGTGTTATTCCATTTTAAGTATCTTGTGAATTTCTGTTTTGCTTCTGTAAACTTGCGAAAGAAGTGATGAGAGATTGCTGATGTGTGGTGATGTGACCGAGCCGCGGGCCGGAACGTTTCCTGTCCTCAGCTGGTCTCAGTGGCCTTTGTCACTACTTGATGAGCAGGCCCAGTCGTAGATGACCAAGGGAATGCTGACCAGGGAGAACAACACCCCCAGGACCAAGAAAAGGGCGGCCTGGAGCAACATAAAGGCATGGGTTATTTTCAGGGAAGCCAACATCTCCCACATACACCTGGGAAAAAAATAGAAATGCTTTTCCCTCTCTTTTTGTGTCCCCTTGTATTTGGAGTTTGTTACAACCATTGCTGAACTGTGAGAATCATTCCAAGATTGTAAGGGTCTGATTCTCCAAGGATGGGAAAACAAGAACTAGCTATGCAGGGCCATCCTCCACATTCTGTTCTTTGACTTCACGGTCATCTCAGAACAAATCCGTTCTATAACTCACTGGTTATCCTTACAGTTTCTTTCAAACTAAGATTACAACTAAAAAAAAAGAAAGGCCTTTGAAAACATAGAGGTTGTTTTGTTACTTTTTACCAACCAACCGAGGTTATCGGTGGCAGGCAAACATTTCTTTCTGAAAAAGTGGGAAAAAAAGATACATAAAAGCAAAGTCTATTTGATCAAGTGAAATAGGAAATGGGTGTCCAGAATTAACTTATTGTAAGGGTTGAGGAAGGCCAGAAGGGGGGACAGGTTACTAAAACCAGAATCTGGAGAACATGAGATTAGAAATTGCTTGGCCTTCAAAGTATCCAAGGAGAGCTTTGCAGGGAGAAGGATGAAGTAACATGAGAGCCAAGGGGGCTGGACTGGAACCTGGAGGGCAGAGCTAAGGGAAGGAGAGGAGGCAAATGGTGGGGTTATACACAGGCTTTCCATCATAGGTCTGGTCTAACTCCCCGTGGGGTCCCACATAGACAGGAGCCCTTGTCTAATGCTATCTGCTAGATCCTACTACCAGTTTTAAGGTGGGAGCAGGGCTGGGGAGGCCCAGAGAACTCATGGGCAACAGGCCTCTAAGCACTTTCAGATTTAATCTGACTATATTTTACTGCTATGCCAGAGTAACTGCTCCTTCTCTGTCCTTGTGGAGCCCCTCCCCTACTGGTATGAGTTAGAAGGACTTGGGACTTACGGTTTCAGGGATAATCCTCTTGGGGAAGTAGACGCTGTACCAACATCAGTGTGGCTTCTCCTAAACGCACAAGGATGATCCCTCCTGCCTACAACTCTCACCCGGGTCTGTTGACTCGGGTCATGTGTGCAATTGGAGCGCTTACACTACCTGGGAGGGCGGCTGAGAAGCCTTCTCCGAGGCCAAACAAAATGGTGCTCCAGGAGGTACTCAGGCAGTAGCCACATCACCCCTGCTTCCCTCACTCGCTCCCAGTGCACCACCTTCAAGATGCCTTTGAACTTCACCAGACCTGGAAACAGGAATCCCAATATAGAAAGGTAGTTTCTGAATCCAGGTCTGTTGTTCCAAAATATTTCTGTCAAATCATAAGAAGGCTCTTGAAGAGAACTCAGCCATTTTAATGAAGGCATCCCATGTGCCCTGGGCTGTCGGAGGGAGTTACGGGGCTAAGAATGGTACAGAAACAGTGGGCTGCATTAAGTCTTCGAGTCCCTCTCCCTTTCCTAGGTGGTTAAAGACAAGGCATCGCCTTACAGAGACGCAGGATGACAAACGTCCAGTTTCCCAGCTGGCCCTACCCTAGCTCAGAGCAAAAGCTAAGGCACAGTAACACATTTTGAGAGAACAGATCAGAGTCTGATACGATATTTTAAATCTCCCAAAGGGGAAAACTACAGGACTGCTGCTCCCCCTCTGAGGCTGCTAAAAGTAGGATGAGGTGGGCTATTCATTTGGTATATTTAAATTAGAGTGGCTGGCCTGAGACATACCCAAATTCTTTGAGTTCCTTTATCTCCATCCTGGCTTGTGATTTTTAAATAAAGAGATGAAGGAAGAATGAAAATAAGCATATTAGCAGATGTGACTCCTGTAAAATAAGAAAAAAAAAAAAGGAAGTTGTTACGGTGAAATTTTAGCTTTCTAAACAGCTGTTGTAGAACGATAAGTGTAAAGTTCATAAAGCCGTACCTACGACCCCAAAAATGTCCTTCATGGAGGGTATGAAGATCACCAACAAGTTGATAATAACCAAGAGTATGAAGGTAACCAAGATATGACGACACAAATTAAACTTTGTTTTCTTAGCCAGTTCAAATAAAGATGAACGAACCTACAGGAAAAGAAAACAAAGGCTCTGTGAGGACCCCCAGCATGCCAACCTTCGCGTCCTCAGCAGAAACTCACGTCCTGGTGCACAGGAATCTGGGAAACGTTTTGTAAAACACTGTGCAGTATTATAGGCAGGGAGGCTTGACTTAAGGAAAGTATGTTTTTTTTACAAATTGGTAGTTTGCTCCAGTGGGGGATAATTTCCGTTTTTATCTATGACTAAGTATGCTCCTCCGGTCCCTTTCTGTTCTCTCATCATGCACAAGCAAGATCCAAACACTCTGTCTACACTTCTTTGCGAAGAAGGAACAGATAAATGAGAATTAAGATTCATCCCAGCAGAGTCCGCCCTATCTCACTGACCCTACTTTCTTTCCGAAGAGCTTTAACCGAGTCTCGGGGATGCCTCCCTGGTACCATTCCAGCGACACCGGGAAGTTCCCTGCAGCAGGCTTTCTCTGGAGCAGGCTCGGAACACGAAGGAAGGGCAGGACCTCAGCTTTTCTTATAGGGCCCTGAGGCCCGTTACTCACCGTGAAGAATAACACTGGCACTGTGAGGATGACAGCAACAATCACAGCCAGCCGCACTGTCAGGATGAGAATGTCATCTTTACTCTGGTACTTGTGAAGGAGGTCTGACTGCACCTTTTCTAAAGTGAGAAAAAGAGAGTATTGAGAGAGAAACAAGGCACACTGCTGAATGACAGTTTATCCGAACAACAAACTCGCAACCTAAATAAAGGGCAAGGGAAGCAATGTTCTGGGTGTCGAAGTAACTATTAAAACAATTTATGAAGTTGAGAAGAAGAATGCCCTGTGTGAGACAGGCTCCACTTGTCCATATGTAACTTTAAGAGGAATTTACAGTCATCGCTAGAAGCAGCTACACCGTGTGGGGATGCTCGGTTTATACTGGATTCAATCTAGGCGTAAACTGGGGTTAAAAAGAACGTACAGTTGAAGCACAAAACCCTTCTTCCTTTTTTTTCTTCAAGATTTTAAATTTATTTGAGAGAGATCACGAGTGGAGTGAGGGGCAGAGGGAAGAACCGGCTCTGCCCAGTGAGCAGGGAGCCTGACGCAGCACTCGATCCCAGGACCCCGGGATCATGACCCGAGCCGAAGGCAGATGCTTCACTGAATGAGCCACCCAGGTGGCCCGCACAAAACCCTTCTTAATCTAGACTTTCCCCCACTTGGTGCCACTCGTCAAACGCACTTGACCACCAGCAGGAAAGAATTCTCTTCCATGTATGTTTTTCTTATTAAAAAAAAAAGTATCTAGCTTATGTACGACTTTGAACTTTTTCTTAACTCTGAACTTCCAAATGTGATTTCAAAGACAACCAAAGCTCTAATGGCAGTCCCCGCGAATGCTCACTGCTTTGACAAGAGCTTCTTCCCCTCCTGCCATGTCTCCTGTAAGGACTTCTCACTGTACCAGTCTCAAGGTTCCAAGGGTGGAATTCCAATTCTATTCTGTGCCATAGATTGGTCTCAGTTTTGGAAAAGGAGCCTAGGTTATAATAAAAATCTCACTAGTTCTAATTTTCTTGAGTCAAGATTTATAACCATCTAAAAATAGCTGAGCCTTTTTCTTTAACCAAAGAGTATAAAAGGGTTTGGCATTTTATTTTATGGGAGGCGGGGGAAATATGGATTTGCAAAGAAAACTCATGGCGTGGACTAGGTAACAGTGAGATTGTTCAACGAACATGAAGCTCTCCCTCCCTCCTTTTACCTACCCCCAGCCCTGCAACTCTGCAGGAAATCGAGAAACACTATTTTTATGCAAAACTTCAACGTGGCATTTATGGATTCATTGGACAATGCTGTCTGCCATTGCTTGTGAAAATGGAAACAATACAACTGTATAACCAGGGTAGCCATGCTCTCCAGGCTGAATTAATCATCTCCAAACGAGCTTAAATTTTGAGACATTTGTGTTTATGGGAAAAAAAATGCCTCAAAGAAATATTGTTTAATAGAGAACAATGTGAGGTATATGTATTTAAATTTAAATCAGGTCCCAAAATATAATGGTAATGAAAGATGTTAAATACAGCTTGAGGATCATTTGAATAGGAGAGGATGAAGACCTAATAAAAGAAGGAAAACTATTCCTACGGGGCCAGTAAGTTACAAATGAAACCCAGTTGTTCTCTTTTTCAGATTTCATTCCCTTGAACCTTCTCTGCCATTCCTTCAAATCTTTGCAGGGCTCCAACTTCCAGTGAACAATCAGGTGTTTTATTTTTAATTAACACAAGTGTCATGGGTGTAACACTCTGCTCTTTCTCACTTTCAACATCTGTCTCTGTCTCTCTTCTCTATTAATGGAATCTGACTCAATTCGCAACACCAATTAGGAGAGCCTTCTCTGGTCTAGTTTTAAACTTTCCTCAGTAAAGGTGGCATGCTTATAAAATGCTGTTTCTTTTAAGGACAGTATTAGGAGAAAAAAATTACAGTATCTTGTTTCAGTAATTATTCTGTTGTGCTGTTTGCACAAATATGTAAAGGAATCATCACCATTGGCTTTATGTAGACGAAAAGACCAGCAAAATCAATGGGTAGGTTTGTTGCTTTTTTTGGGTTATCGTGTTAAAAGTTATTTGGATATTGGGGTGCTGGGGTGGCTCAGTCGGTTAAGCAGCTGACTCTTGATTTCAGCTCAGGTCATGATCTCAGGGTCCTGGGATTGAGCCGCATGCACCGGGCTCTGGGCTGAGCAGGGAGTCTGCTTCAGGATTCTCTCCCCCCTTTTGCCCTTTCCCACCTCGCACACACGCGCGCTCTCCCCCCCCCCCCCCCCCGTCTCTAAAATAAATACATAAATCTCTTTTAAAATGTTAAAAGTTATTTGGATACTGATTTTCACTAATTTATTTACAAACACCTCTATTTATGTGCTAACAGAAGTCACTTACCATAGAATGTCAAGTAGCCAAAAATGGCAGTCAAGAAGTACATAACAAACATGGCGAAAAAGGAGATATTGGAAACCATCTGCATCTTTTTCTGTGATCGACTAGGAACAAAGATAAGGGAATTTTAAAAATTAAAAACCATGTTACTGAATTTAAGTACCGGTGTTAACACTGAAGAATACTAACAACTTTCTATCAGGCTAGGGAAGATATGACCAGCTGAGATTACCCCCCTTCCACCTCCCCTGCCCCCAGCAATTTAAAATAACTTCTTTTATACCAAAGGGGGATGTGAGAGAGAGATTCATGGAACTACCAATCCCTCAAATGTCCTTCCCCATTCTTTTGAAAGAATATCAGGTTCTCATCTGAAGGGCAGAGAATATTTTTTAATATTTGTTTTTGATATTATCTCCATACTCAGCATGTACGGGGAAAAGGGCAGAATAAATTCAAATCTCCCAGCCCAGAGATCAGGGGCAAGGCTAGAACTTGACCTCAGGTGTTCTGTTGCTAAAGCTCTTATTTAGGTTCCTTTTTTCCCACTGAGTAGCTTCAGGGATGCACCTGGAAGTCTATGTTTCCAGAGCAATAAGTACCCAAGTGATCACAACTGTGATGATGAAGGGCTCTATCTCTTAAGTCAAGTTTAGTCTGGGAGTTTGGGTGAACATTTAAGTTTTTTTAATGGCCCAAATAATTCATTTATAAGACTTGTACTCAATAACAGACCACGATAGTCATAACATTTGTTTGTGTCATAACAGGAAAAATTGATAGGTACACACATCAGAAAATTACAAACTAAAAGCTGGACTATTACATTTAAAAGATGTCAAAGACATATTTATAAATGTCCTAAGTATAGGATCATAAGGTAGGATTGATGTACACATAGGTAGATGTAGATATTTTAAAACTTACCCATATATCAATTAAATATGAAAGAGGAAGAGTCATGAGTGAATCAATGCTAAATGATATTTTATTTTTCAAAATGGAAAGAGACAGCTATATTGTATATCTTTTCTGAGCTTAAGACTATGCCATGAAGATTATTTTTATCTGTAAAGTCTGCTTAACAGTAGGCTAAAATGAGAACCCAGGAGGAAATTTATAAGCAGGACTTTAGTTTTCTCTAAAACAGCAATCAAAAACAAATCCATAGAATCATCTTAATAGTTTAAAATGAACAATAATATTCTCTTGTCCAGTTTGTGGCCTTAACATTAATTTCTTTCTGCCTGATTTCGCAGCCTTTTCCCTCTAAACCAGTAAGAGGCAAATCAGACACAACGCATTCTGCAGTTTATACATGAATCTGATTATTATTATACACTTGCAAAATAAGCATAAGTGACATAAAGCAACAGAAATACTTGAACTCTCCTAAGTAATATAGTATGCGAAAAAACCAATTTAACAAAAAAAGTCCACACAGTTGGCCACTTTATATATTTACGGCCAAAACATACTGCAGATTTCTGATTTTTCTTGTTCTTTTTTTCCTTTAATATAGTACTTGCTCAAGAATGGCCGAAAGTAAATGTTGAAGCCGGCTGATGAGTCCATGGAGGTTCATTATACAAATCTATTTATTTTAATACAGTACTTGTGTACTAATGAGGGGATGTAAAAAATGATTAAGGTAAAAAAAAAAGCAAATCTCTTACTCTTTAAGCTCACTGTAAATTGGCAGGACTGACGGGTGGCAGACAAAAGCAAACGCAATGGTTGGTAAAGCGTACACGGTCTATTTGAAAGAGAAAAATAAACATTAAGAAGAAGCATTTTTTACTCTAAAAATTATTCCGCTCCAGTATTTCTGCACTGTCGTTTTCTCTGACAGCTCTTCAGAATCCCTGGATTATTCGGTTATTAGGAGGGCTTTGATACCAAAAATAGAAGCAACCTTTCTAAGAGAGCTTATCTAGCTTGAGACGTGAGGCACTTGGCACACAGGGGTTTTAGGTTCGCCTCACCTACATCCTATTTTACTGCTTCAGGAAAAGCATCATCCCATATTTACATGGCGCTGGCCAGTCACCGGGGACTTTCCCTGCATTATTTCACGGAGTCTCTACAACAACCCTGAGCAGTAGACAGACCACTGATGCTCTCCCGACTCCCTCCAACAGGTTAGGTGACATGCCCAGGACTTCTCCCATCTCTGTTCCACTGCTCTTTGCTCTATAGGGCGCATCAAATCAGACTTAACAGATGGCATCTAAAAAGACAACTACTTCCTCAGTCACTACTTTGGCTGTGTCCTTAGAGTTGCGAGAGAGAGAGAGAGAGATCTCTTTAGTTTTCTTAGATAAGACTTTTTAAAACTCTCAAACTCAATACAACTTCTGATGCAAAAAAAAAAAAAAGGAAGAAAAGTAACATTTCTCATGCTTTAAGTCTGTGCAAGCACAGGACCAGGCCCATTCTAAAAAAAACCCTGTGAGAGACAGAACAGAATCTTTGTTTTCCACATGGGGTTTGGTAACTTGTGGAAGGATTTAAATCCAAGCGTGATTGGTTCCATAGTCCACTGTTCTCCATGCCATTAGCAGCATCCCAACTATATGAAAGTTTGCTAAGTGTCAATTTGTGTATCTGTATTTCAACTGTGTGAGCTGGGGAAACTTGAGGGATGCCTTTCTGTCACCACCAGGGAAGAGCAGTGGGCTAACGATGGCATTAATCTGTTTTTAAAGATCTACAAGGAAGAGAGGAGCTGAGACAATGATCCAGAAAGAGATTTTCACAGAGAATGCTTAAGGTTGTCCTTTATGTAAACTGGATAAGAGGAAGCAAGAAATGTAATATTTGCCTATTTCTCAAAGGTCTCCAAATTATGGAATTTGGGAAGCAGTGGTATGGTGCTCTATTGAGAACGAATACTTTCAAAGCAGTTTAATTACAACAAATATGAGAACGATAATGCTCTTAGTAAAATGCTCTTTTTTATATTTAAAATATAAGGAAACTTACCTTTGAATTGAAGGTAACGTATTTTGGTGTACACATGTCAGGGTTTGTTAAATTAGCACTTATTGTTGAATTTAGCTCCATAACAATGCAGGGAATTTGAAATTTTTTGTAGATAACCTGGTATTAAGAAATATAGGAGAAACAATATAGACATTATCAAATAAAGCTAAACAATGAATAACTGCTGCATGGCATTGTACTATGGCAAAACCAAACCAACCATTTTCATCAGCACTTACCACTATCAGGAAAAAAACCATACAGCTCAAAGAAAATCCGCTAGTATAGCCAAGATACCCTAAAAGAAAAGTTGAAAGAATTTATTGTTATTATTTCACGTATCACCTTGTTTCTTTCAATGCATTAACTTTTTTTTAAAAGATTTTATTTATTTATTTGACAGGGAGAGAGTTAGAGAGAGCAGGAACACAAACAGGGGGAGTGGGAGAGGGAGAAGCAGGCTTCCCGCCAAGCAGGGAGCCCGATGTGGGGCTCGATCCCAGGACCCTGGGATCATGACCTGAGCCGAAGGCAGACGCTTAACGGCTGAGCCACCCAGGCGCCCCTCAATGCATTATTTCTAGCATAGTTCCAATAATATACAAATATGCCTATGTGAATATAAGATTTATTACTTGAGAGTGCTCCTTTATTTGGCAAAATAATGGTGACTTTAAATAAAAATATTATATTACCGCTTTGATTCCCGTTTTCCCTGATACACTAGACAATGAAGATTCCCAGATAGGGAAAAAAGAGCCTTCCAAATTTGGCCATAGCTCTTTGTTGCTCTACTCTGATGGAGTATTTTTTTTTTTTTTTTTTTTTAAGATTTTATTTATTTATTTGACAGAGAGAGACACAGCGAGAGAGGGAACACAAGCAGGGGGCGTGGGAGAGGGAGAAGCAGGCTTCCCGCTGAGCAGGGAGCCCGATGTGGGACTTGATCCCAGGACCCCGGGGATCATGACCTGAGCCGAAGGCAGACACTTAACGACTGAGCCACCCAGGCGTCCCATCTACTCTGAATGGAGTCTTATGGCCAAATGCATTTACTCTTTGATCTACTCGATAGTTCTTTATTATGGACTTATTGTATACATACTGAATATCAGCTACGTAATACTTCTCATCCCAGGTGAGGGGCATACAGAGAGGAGATGAAGTGATTTCTAGGAATAAATTGAGCATCTGGGGATCTTCACCTTGCTCCCCTTGAAGTCCCCCAACCACTGTAACTTCCACAAAGGCAGAGTAAGTGGTCTCTGGGAGGTTGCACTATTCTCTTCCCTGGAGAAGAAGAGCCCTTCCCTCCTTAATCTGAAAAGAGCTACATGTATATATACAGAGAAGCCGAAACACAGACCTAGAAACCAGAAAATTAAGTCGTTTTCAAGATCTACTTCTAGATCTTACATAACAGCTACAGAGACTTGATATTTTTCATACAAAACAAAACACTATGGTTAGCAATCATTTGGGGTAAGAACTTTAACCTAAATGTCTTCCTTGAATTAGCCCAGAATTAAAGGAGATGCGTTTTGGACTGGATAGCAGTCTGGCCACATTATTCAATGTATACAATTCCCATAACATGAGACACACTCGTCTCCAAATATAAACATACACACAAAAAAGGTCAAAACCAAGTGGATAGGACTTGGTGATTATCTGCAGCCTTTGACTTTTCACTTCTCTCTTTCCCTTCAGTGAAGCAAATAATTGAGATTGGTTAGACTCTGATAATTAAGAGTGATTCATAATACTTCAGGGGATAAATATAAGCAACTTTCTGTTTTGCTAGATTTGAAAATCTACTTCTCTAAATAATCAGGATACTTAAGACCTTGTATAAGGAGAATTCCATTTTCTGTACTTTTCTCAGAGTAGCCTGTAAATTGTGCTATTGGATGTGGCACTGTGTCTGTTGCTGGCCCCAGAACCTCACTGCCCCCCTCTACAGCTCAGTAGAGGGATTGCTTAGGAGGTCACATACTGACCAGTGTTTTTATGCTATATTAAAGTCAAGCCTGAGTAATACTTGTAATTTATCATTCACTTAATCTTTACCCTACAAGTGAAAGTAGAGAGGGCAAAGTTGTTCATTTTTATTAGGTTTCTGACTCATTTGGGCACTGTAGAGACTATGATAAAAGCAAGCTCTTTCCTTACCTAAGTTCTTCAAGAGACACAGAGGGAGGATTATGCCAAAAGTAACTACCACCACCAGAACTCGGCCATCCACATACCAGGCTCTGAAAAAGGCATTTAAGTGGTTGGGTCATATTTCCGTAGAAAGTCACACTTTTTCTCAAATGTAAAATTTCACAATATGTTTTAATGAGTTTTTACCATTATTAATTTTTACCATTAATTTCTATCATTATTCAGGTTTATCCAAACACTTTAACCCAACCACTCCCCATTTACTATCGTCTCTCTCCCAAGTGATGGAAGAAGGGATTTTTTTTCCCTCCCCCATCAGCTAAATGTGGCATTCCTCTGAATAATTTACGTGATTTCAAAGCTGAATGCACACACTGCATTCTGTCAGATAGCAACATGTCTTATCAATTATTTAAGGAGAAGTTCCTTTTTGTTTTGCTTGGCTAATACCATTGAAAAACAAGTCAACACAGGTAGGCATCGCTTTCTCCCTAACCTCTTGTATTTGACCTTGAGTCCTGATGACAGAACACAAGGAACTCTGGCTCCTATGATTCTTCCTTGAAAGAAGACAGAAAAACTAAGACTGACAAGAACTGTTAAACAAGAAGGAGTGAAAACAGTGGACGTGCCAGGTGTAGCTCCAACATTTTCCAAGCTTATCTTTAATGAAGTCGGCTCGTGTAAATTTTGCTCCCTTCTTTAAGAAAGAGACTAGGGTCTTAATGTTTTTGCGTGTTCCACTTCTGTGTTAAATATATGTCTGTGTTAAAAATACTCTGTATCCATTCTGTTTTGTAGAAACTAGATATAGATTTCAGGCTCTCTGGGAGATGCAGCATCTACTGTTTGCAGCCTGACAGATAAATCTACCTTTTAGATGCTCAGAGTCAAATGGCTTTCCCTGCTTCTTTCATTTATATAACAGCCCCAGAGAAATTTGTTGGAACAACAAAGTAAGAAAAAAACAATCCAGGGAAAACTCAGGTGCCTCCAGTTTTCATAAAACAAAAACTTTGGTTAGCCCACATTTACATTAAAAATATTTTCGTTATCTTACAAAAAAAATGGTCTATAACTTACGAAAATGCCTCTTCCTTTCCCATGAGAAACTTTATGGCGGAGGGTAGTTCATTTTTGACTATGAAGAGGTAGCTCAGCATTGCTAGAGGAAAATGAGAACATTTTTAGAAAGAAGATACTAAGGCTCATGTTGCAAGCTATATAAAAGGCTGCCAGCCTGTTCTTAGACTGACCTTCAATGAGACACAAAGACAGTTTTAGCTACTCAGTATACTTGGTTTTATTTTTTTTATTTTTTATTTTTTTTAAGCAGACCCCCAGCCGAGCAGGGAGCCCGATGCGGGACTCGATCCTGGGACTCCAGGATCATGACCTGAGCTGAAGGCAGTCGCTTAACCGACTGAGCCACCCAGGCGCCCTATTTATTCATTTATTTGAGAGAGTGAGAGAGAGAGAGAGAGCACATGAGAAGGGGAAGGGGCAGAGGGAGAAGCAGACTCCCCGCCGAGCAGGGAGCCTGATGCGGGACTTGATCCAGGGACTCCAGGATCACGACCTGAGCTGGAGGCAGTCGCCCAACTGACTGAGCCACCCAGGCGCCCCAGTATACTTGGTTTCAAATGAGTGACTGCTCTTACTTTCTGCCTTACTTTCCATGTGCCATTTTAGCAAGGAGAGCGGTGCTGCTTCCACTTTGTTAAAATTCATGCGGCCACCCAACCACCGGATTTAGAGACGATAATAATAGGCACATACTTTAAAGTCGGGGGTAGAGAAGCGTGTTCCTTTACCTCCAGTGTTCTGTAGCGAAGTGGCTCCAAAGATCACGAGCTTCCCTGTGGCACCAAAGACCTGTTCTCCCAGCTTTTCATAAACCATGCAGCCTATTTGAAAATCATAGTTGAGAACACAAGAAGTGACACAGGGATCTAAAAGTGAAAGAAAGCCAATACTTCCGCACTCTACGGGCTATTCCCCAAGTTAGTCCGTCTTTCTCAAAACCACACACGTAGCCTTTTGGGCTTTGCAAGGGTTAAGGTGTTGCAACCTCGTGACATCTTAAAATGTCAGACATGGGGCCCCTGGGTGGCTCAGTCGGTTAAGCGACTGCCTCCAGCTCAGGTCATGATCCCAAGGTCCTGGGATCGAGCCCTGCATCGGGGTCCCCGCTCTGCGGGAAGCCTGCTTCTCCCTCTCCCACTCCCCCTGCTTGTGTTCCCTCTCTCGCTGTGTCTCTCTCTGTCAAATAAATAAAATCTTTAAAAAATAAATAAATAAATAAAAATTAAAAAAAATAAAATAAAATGTCAGACATGACCACCATTTCTCCTTTTTCAGGTTGGCTACAAAAGCATTTACAATTCAATTATTAGGTCATAAAAGGCTTATTTTTAACTATCTCGAAGAGTCTTCCTACTTGGGGAGGAGGGTGGAGATTCCTACTCTGATCTCCTTCTCAATCTGGTGCATATCATTAAAGATTTGATTTAAAAATAAAAATCCTTATAGTTGGGACGAAAGTTTCCTTTTGAATTAATTATGTGAACTGATGAGGCTAACAAGGGATTATTTTAATAACATTCCACGAATGCCTCATATGTCCTAAACATAATAACAAACATATGATAGTCAACACCAGAACGTTGATCATTTGTAAAACTTAGTTCAAAGATATGCAACTCAGAAAAGAGACCAATAGATAAATCTGTCAAAAGAATAATTTGGCTACAGCAAAATCCTAACATGTTCAACTGTCTCATCTCAATGAATACTAAACTGCTAAACCATCCATTAAAAAAACATGTTTATATTTCTTTATGACAGTTCGGTTCACGTTTTCAAAATGTTCACAGAAAGCAATATGGGTCAGACTATAATTAAAACTTTGTTTAATCTCTCATAAGACTGGTGTTTAAACAAGACAATTGTAGATCCTCAATCTATTACAAAATGTCCCAGTTAAATGGAGTCGTCTCTGTACAGTAATAGTTGGCCAATGTGGTTTTAGCTAAAGTAAAAGTCAAAGTATTACAAACAGAATCCATTTGTCCCAGGAATAGAAAACAAACATTTCAGGTATTACACTCCCCAGAACTTAGAGCCTTTCCACAGCACCCTTGCTCCCACATTGCCTCGGGTGTAACATTTTCTCCTTGGAATACACACACAAGAGAATGAGAGCTCCATTTACTTTTAAAATCTTGAAGTCTATAATATCAAAACTTGGGATCCTTGTTCTGAATTTATAAAGACCTAAGGAAAAACTGAAGCCTTTCAAATGAAGTCATCTTAAACTAGAAAAATAGGTATAATTGGGGGTGTGCTTTAAATGGCAACACTATTCTCTCAGTGTTCAAGACAATTTAATTTCCATGGTGCTGTATCTATTTCTCTGGGTAAATGCCACCATAGGTTTTTGAGGGACTGTAGGTCAAAGTACTGTTCAATAATCAGTTGCTGAATGGGGAGGATATCACTCATTCACAATATCACCATGCAAATCATTCACCCTGGCTTTAACAAAATTAGACATATTATCAGCTTACCTGTTTCCTTTGAACAGATCAAAAGAAGGTTTATTGAATATATAGATAGCAGTGTCACAGAAGTCAAAAGTATCCTAAAGCAAAGAAAATAAGTCTTGTAATAACTATAAAAGAACATACTTGGACCTTACATTTTAGAAGGACAAAGGCTTATTTATATGGTTAACACTGTTTGTTGGTTGCATCCAAATTTTGGAAACTATTGGTCACACCCTCTTTAAAATCCTCAATAAAAATGTTCTACCAAATAAAGAGCTACTCATTAGAATCTGAGTAACCCTAACTGTGCAAATCCTCTACCTTAATTCAAAGCCTAAATAGCTCTCTGAGGTCATTTCAGTTGAAATGACTTTCAAACAGTATTATGAAAGAAAGCTTTTATGGTCTATGATGTACTTTCTGTTACATCCGTGTGAGAAAGTGTGAAAGAGGTGTAGGGCTGGGGGTGGGGGGTAGGGGCTGAGGGAAAGGCTTGTCAATGACCATGTAACTTTAGACAACTTGCTCAATTTCTCCCATCCCTAGATTCCTCACCTATAACATAGACACAAGCTAAATGAAGTCTAAGGTTCTTTTCATCTAATTACTCCATGGCTATTTTTGAATCTATATACTGGACCACTGAGATAATTCACTTTTTTTGCACCTGGTTCCTCTTAAAGACTAAGCACTTCTTTTAACTGATGGGAAAATGTTGACAAGCAAAATGAAAAGACTTTTTTGAATGACGAACTCATGTTTTTGTTTTAGTACATCTGGCTCATTATCAAACCCTCCTCAAGAAAAAGCACAGTTAAAATGATGTGGGAGATTACATAGATTATTTCTGAATCATTTGGTTAAAACAGACTTGGTAATTGAAAATAAAACCTATTTGCTAAAAAGAAAAAAAATTCCAGTCCCCCAAATGAAACCACACACTCCCTGATGTAGGGAAATATATCCCTAGAACAATATATTAGTGCAGTTGATTCCACATTTGAGTAATTAAGGCAAAGATTTTTCTAGCAAGTGTCATTGAGAGGTACTTGGTGCATCATGCAATTCTCTCTGTGTGGGCTCTCTCTTCCCAACCTCATCCCCCAGCCCGCATACCCACTGAACCACTGTCCTTGGGCCCAGCTCAGATGTCACCTCCTTAGGTGACTTCCCTTGCCCCAGGCAGAAAGACAGTTCCGTGGCTCTCTCATGTCTTATGGCATTTTGCTTCTCCTATATGCAATGGGGGAGTACACAATGATCAACTGCAGAGCAGACAGAATGCCAGAGATTGGTCACAAAACATAAAAGAGGGACAGAGGTCAGCAGAGGTAAAAACAAACACTGAGAGAAAGAACAGAAAACCTAACACTCTGGGTGAAGACCAAACTGACTAGCTAATAAAAAGGGGAATTTAGGGGTGCCTGGGTGGCTCAGTCGTTAAGCGTCTGCCTTCGGCTCAGGTCATGATACCAGGGTTCTGGGATCGAGCCCCACATTGGGCTCCCTGCTCAGCGGGAGGCCTGTTTCTCCCTCTCCCACTCCCACCTGCTTGTGTTCCCTCTCTCGCTGTGTCTCTCTCTGTCAAATAAATAAATAAAATCTTTTTTAAAAAAAGGGGAATTTAGGTGAAGATATGATGGTAAGGAAGTGCATTCAGACATATATTGACTTAGCTAAGATCCTTGAGTGGGAGGGTGATTAAGAAGGTAAGTCCCTTATTATCTATTCTGGCTGAGGGACAGGAGAAACTGAGAGCAGGCAGTTATTCACCCATCCAGTAGTTCTGAGATATGTAATGGAACACGATTTGATATGCTCTGCCAGAGAGGAAGATACAGGACCCAACTGTGGTATGATTTTTCTTTCACCTTGTAAGAGATAAACAATATTTATTCTGAAGAAGCAAGCTTCAAATTTTGCTCAGAGTTCACTCATGTTTTTAGGGACAATGAACACGAACGGGCAACTCCTACGTGTGCATGCGGCAAGCCATAGAGGACTTGGGCGTGATGTGGACTAGCATGGGCTTCCAGTTGGGGATAGGAGAGATGCAAGTTTCTGCTGCTCTGGAGTGACCACGTGCCCTGTTGAGTCTATCCCCCTGGGACTGACCTAGAGAGGAGAGGGGATCCTGCCACGGGGCCCCAGGCTAATGAGTAGAGAGTATGACCTTGCAGGAACTATGTGCCTAGCAGGTGGGACAATTACTCATGTCTACCTAATGATTAACCAAAGGCCCTAAGCCTAGGAGATCTGGGTACTTATTAGCAAAAGAAACATTATAAGGAAACATCCATTCCCTCAGCTAGGAGCCCCTGGGACCACATGGCTCTTGCACATGGTTGCCTCCCAACACATTCTACTGGGTTGAATGTCTTTGTAGGTGATGCTCAGCTGACCTGTGGCCCTTGGCAAGAAGTAAAGGATTTCTTCATAAACTCCCATCACCTCTTTTTCTCTTTCTGGGGGGAAAAGTGTTTTTCAGGGAAGAGATTAGCAGGGAGTTCATCTATCTTCTCCTCCACACTTACCAACAGCAGAGTGAGGTCCTCCCACTGTGATGAAAACGACCCCCCTGCTCCTATGTTTAAGAGACATAACACTGCACCCCAGACAAAAGGACCTGGAGTGAGAGTCTGACAGTCTCTGCCTTTAACCACCCCACCTCTGAAGACGGTCTTCTTCATCCTTCCCAAAATATAGAGCTTCCCTTCGAAAACCAAAAACTAACATAAAACAAAACCCTTTTTCTATGAGGTTGTAAGAGGCAAAACCTGTATGTAAAATTTTAAGACCGCTTTAGGCTATAAAAAATATCTAGAAGTATTAATGGAATTAAAAGTTAGAGAAGTGCATCTCCTTGTTTAGATTCTTAGCAAGAAACTCTAAGTTGTCTAATTGGCTATAATGATGCTAGAATAGTTTAAGGGCATCCAGAGATGTCAAAGACAAAAAAACATAACATCAAGAAGAAAGAGCAGGAGGAATGACTTGCGAGAAATGTAATGACTTATTTGAACATTTCTCCTGTCTTGAGCGTGATTGTACCTCTATTTGTCCAATTAGATATTTGTACATATTATTGTGGTTTGCTGGAAGAGAAATATACACCGGTATTCCTGTGCTAAGAGGAACATGAGTGATTCCTTTTTTCATCTCATCCGGACATCATGTTCGCTTTCACACTTCTAATCATTGACGACAAGTTCTAATATGGTTATGGCAAAAACCACTTGAAAAAGGCGTTTGGGTGGCAACTAAACGTCAGCAATAGGAACTGAGCTGTCAAGGTGTTGGTATTTCAGACTTATGTTCAGCCTTGAAGAGAAGGGGATCCAGAACTTGTAGCTGGACATGGGCACTGGGGAAGCAGCGGCAGGGGAGTTATCTAGTGAAGAATGTGGTCAGGAACCTCTGAGAACCCTCACGTTGTCAGCAACACTTTGAAAGAGGTGGTGCGGGGACATCCTCGGAGAGTTTGTGTCCCCTATGGGGAAGGAGCCTGTTAGGAAACAATTCTAGACTCCAGGATCAGGAAGGGACCTTTAGACACCACCCTGTCCAGCTTCCCACCCAGCACAGGAAACCTCTCTGCTGCATCCAACACACAGGCATCCAGGTCTGCAAGGTGTGTCACAGGGGACACATACGCCACCCATCCCATCCTGTTTCTGGAAAGTGCCACGCACAGGAACTGAGGCTGAGCTGAAACTACCACTGCCATTTCACCCTTTGGACCTACTTGAATCTACTTGAAATCGAAACCCTCTTCCACCAAACAGTCCATCTGATGGTGCTCATTTTCAGATTGTGCCCTTTGACCTACACCTCTCCAATTCTTCCAGCTTTCATCCTGTGATGGGGAAGTTCAGGCTCTTTACATCTCAGTCATGGTCCAGTTCCTCAACCATCCTTTGTCATGGCTGTATGCCAAAGAAAAGCACAACGCCGTCACATCAGTTTTGGTCCATAAACCGCAAAGCACGTTAAGACTATTAAGTTGAGCTGGACATCGTGCTTCCTTGAAGGCAACCTATTTTCGTGTTCATTTTTATGGCAACCAAGCCACACTTTTCTTATTGAGCTTCTGTTGGAAACTCATATTAGGCTACTCTTCCTGGTTCTATCCTGTGTATACTTTTTTTTAAAGGATTCTGCACTTTTGCATTATATTTTGTCTTTCCTGTCTTATGATATCTTTTAAAATTGTTGATCTTTTTTACTTATGTATCAACTATCTCATCAAACTTCATATCTTGAATTTGCCTTCATTCAAGTCACTGGTGCTAACTTTGAATAGAACAAGACCCCAATCTAGAAAATGGCCCCCTGCCCCATCAACTGATCCAGCCAGAAACCTGGAAGTCACCCTTGATCTTTTATCTACTCTCTCATCCCTCACATCTAATCATTGGCAAGTGTCCTATCACTTCTCACTCCAAAATAATTCCTAAATCCATATACCTTTTTTTTTTTTTTCCATCTTCACTGCCACTACTCTGATCCAAGCCACCAACACCTCTCATTTCTGGGCAACTGTAGTACTCTGTATCTGTCTCTCATTTCTTGCCCTCTCTGATCCATCCTCCACCTAGCAGCCAAAGTAATGTTTTTATCTCATTGCTTTATTATTTTCCTCCATTACTAGACTGTAGGATAGGCCATGACGGTTTAATTCAGAGTTGTAGCCCATCCTGTTTGCCAATTTACATACAATACCAAACAGACTCTTAGCTAAGAATAAGTGAATTTACAGATTAGTATCTCATTTGTAAGTCATATGGGATTATGCCAAACATCTTGCTAAAATCAAGATACATTCTTCCTAAGACAATCCTGTGACCTACTAGTTCACTATTATCTCAAAAGATGAAGTTAGTTTAGCACAACGATTAAGGAAAACCCTATTGACCTCTATGGAGCAATATTTTCTACAGTATTTGCACATAAAAGCTATCTAATAATTTGCTCTTGAATTACGCTTGAGATCTACTTTTTATCACTTCTGAAAGTTGGGATGAAATCTGCCCATTTCTAGTCCTCTGGCGATACTCCTGCTTTCCATGATTTCTTAAATATTTTTGACAGGGAT